TGCATTTCCTCCAATGAAAGTACTAGATTCGACACTGTTTGCATGTGGCATACCTCTTTTAGTGTATGAAGCCTTAAGAGATTTTAATTCCGTGGTGACTACTCGAGCTATAATGAATCTACTAGGGATCGAGCTTCTTTAACTTGATCCCCTGAGTTGATCATGATATTCTTGTTTCATCTACAGTTGATTTCGTTGCCATGCATTCTTCATTCACTCGCTGTGACTGTAAACCAGGTGTAATACCTACAAAAGCGTCACTATCACATGCCCTTCATTCGCCACTCACACCTTCACTAATGAGTTAATTCAAAATGGACTTCCTTCATGGATCCTTGACTACATCCCATAACGTGGTTATGGACATCTACAGCTCAGGCAGTATGAGAAAGTATACCAAATGGGTTTTGCCAGAAATGTCTTGCGAAATTGCTTAAAGCTGATGAACTGGCAGCAGTTGCTATTTTCAGACCCTAGAATACAACAGCGTTGTAACCAACTCACAAAAAATATGTGCCTCAAAGTCAAGGAATTTTTTTGGTGATACCTTCAAAATATCTAGTCCTACGATCACAGCTGTCGTAGTAAGTAAACTCAACTACGTAAAACGCAAAATGTACACACCAAATGATCATACAGACTCCGTATAGCGCTATATAAGGTTGCAGGAATTCATTTTATGAAACCAAGCGAATAACACACATTTTGTTGTGGTAACAGCTTAATAGATATCATGGTTAAACTGGCCTAACGTTGGGGTAGGCACGAAAACTCAGATAATGCACCTATTTCTGTAGCTATTTTCAATACATTTTGATTTCATGACTCCATCTCGTGTAAATTTAAGGTTGGACACACCAAGTACCTGGTAGGAGGCGTCTACAGAACTCCTACTAGCGGCGTGGAAGGTAACCGACAACTGCTGCAATTAATGTCCGGAGCGACGTCCATCGGGTATGACCAGGTCATTATAGCCGGCGATTTTAATGCTCCGACACTCAATCCTTGGCAGGACAGGGGAACCTCAAGCCGAAGGTCCGACCGAAACCTACTCAACACTATCAAAAGGGCTGGGCTGCACGAGAATATTGGTGATGATACTCGCCGAGGGTCGGGCGGAAAGCCGTCCAAACGCGACTACCTTTTTACCAGTGACCCTCTGCTGGTAGAAAATGTACAGGTTGCAAGCCCCGTTGGCAGCAGCGATCCCGGCGTGATAGTGTTCGATCTGGTACTCAAAGAACAACTGTCATAGGAGGGATCTCGCCCTTGACACAGGAGGTCATTCCAGACGAACCTTGCCCAAAGGCTCGAGGCAAACCCCAGAAACCTACATCTGTTTATGGCAGACAGAAAATCCACCAGCCAGGAGGCTTGCGTCCTGAAAGGCCCAGACGGAGAGAACCTCTCTGGACTAGAGATCGCCGAAGCCTTTAAGCCACTTCGGATGCGCAGCCAAACGCGCCTCTGTCGAACCAAAATTACCAAGTGTCCGACCATTATTCAGCACCACCGAACGCAGTAGAGTTACCTGGAATAAAGGTAACTCCTGTTATGGTCCTCGAAAAACTGTCAGAGGCCCGCGCAGGGAAATCACCAGGGTGTGATGACATCCTACTGGCTGTTCTGAAACATTGCGCGGGTGACTTGTGCGGCCCGCTGTGTAACTTGTTTCAACACGAGAGTGGAAAAGTGCTATTCTGCCCCCATCTTCAAAGGTGGAGACAGGCAGGACCGAAAATGCTGCCGACCCATAGCCCTCCTACCAGCGGTGTCAGAAGTAATGGAGGGCCTGGTAGACGATCATGTCAGGGAGTAACTGGAAAAAAGGGGAGCACTTAGTGATGCTCAACATGGTTTGAGAAAGGGTAGATCCTGTGCCACAAACATTCTGGTGGCAGGTGATAAGTGGACGGTATGCTAGGACCTCTAAATTCCTGTGCATGTCATTTTCCTGGATTTTACTAAGGCCTTCAACACAGTTCCACACACCGTTCTTATTCACAAAATAGCAAGATTGGGCATCAAGGGACAAGTGTCCTGGACCTAGTCTTCACAAACGGAACCACACCCACAAAACTCCAAGTGGGTACACAACTTCCAGGTAGCGATCACAAGGTTGTATATGGATACTTCAATATAACCAGCACAAAAGTGGCCCAAAAGTCAGGAACAGTACTAACTAGAAATTACAAGTATGCCAAATGGGACGAACTACAATCGTTTCTGCGCTGCCTAGATTGGAGCCCCTACTTTACCAACAGTTCAGCCAAAGAACTCTGTGATCTATTCTATGAATATATAGGCACAGCTCAAGACTATGTTGCTCCACCGCTCCGAAGAGAAATTAAGAAAAACAGAGCTGACTATATACCAAAGAAAGTACGCATCCGCATGCGAAACCATGTCAGAGAGTACTATAAGTCGAATGACTTTTCGTCGCTTGTCACACTCAAAGACACATACGACACATTCAAGGCAGAAAGAGTAATAGAAGCCGTTAAACAAGAACGCATCCAATGTAGTAAAACTAGTAATACAGAGGCACTAGTGAGACTGATGAAAACCCGGATAAGTAGCTCCAGAAATAGTACCCCTAGTTTAATCATGGACAACGGCATCCTCTACGATAACCCTCTACAAATCAGCGAGCTGTTCGGTTACCAGTTTGCTAGCTGCTTTACACAAGAGGACGAAATAAAAGTCATTGGTGCACCGTCAACACCAACTCACTCCATAAGTACAGTGCTCTTCTCTAAACAAAACATTTCTCTAGCTATAGCATCACTTCGAACCTCATACAGTGCGGGGCCTGATGGAATTCCAACCATCTTGTTAAAAAGAGGTGGCGAAGATATACCGCTGATTCTCTTGAAGCTCTTTAATACGTCCCTCTCCAGTGGCAATTACCCTGAGAACTGGAAACTATCATACATATGTCCTAAGCATAAATGTGGACCAACATCTAATATAGAAAACTACCGACCTATAAACATCACGTCAGTAGTATCCAGGACTATGGAAAAGGTGATTGTGAAAGCAGTTGTCGACTATATGACGACTAACCAATTACTCTCACCAGCACAACATGGATTCTTGAAAGGCCGGTCATGCACTACAAGCTATCTTGACTATCTAGACAACGTTACAAGCAAGCGTGACCAAGGCCTATTTGTAACTACCCTTTTCTTAGACTTCAAGCAAGCATTCGATAAGGTGCCTCACAAACGCCTGGTCACTAAGTTGCAATCATATGGTTTCCGAGACCCGTTACTGTCCTGGCTCAGAACATCTTTAGAGGGTCGCTTCCAAGTAGTAAAATTCAGTAATTGCTACTCCACCCCTAGACTTATACAAAGTGGTGTCGTCCAGGGTAGTGTGCTAGGACCGATACTTTTCCTAATCTATGTAAACGATATCTGCAGTGTTATCCGAAATGGCATACCCTACCTTTTCGCTGACGACTTGAAGATAGTCTACAGCTTTTCTCCTGCAGCACTAACACAGGGTTTCTCTCAAATACAAGAAGATCTGAAGAGGATATTCATATGGAGCGAGACCTGGCAGCTCCCTCTAAACCCAAATAAAAGTGGCATCCTCCATTTCAATAAATCCCACCCAGAAGTAACGCTACACTTGGGTGATATTGCACTGCAGGTATACAACACTGTGAAAGACCTCGGAATCACTTACTCCAGAAGTTTGACTTTTACGGAGTATGCAGACTCAGTAGTTTCCAAGGGCAGAAGACTCATCGGTCTTCTACACAGAAACATACTCATACCTGAGGCAAAACTTATACTGTACAAGGCTATGGTTCGCCCAATATTAGAGTACTGCACCGTTATCTATGGTAGCATGAATGTGTCGGACAGAATTCGAGTAGAGAACATTCAACGGAACTTTACTCGGCGCCTACTAATACATAACGAAGGACTTCCTTACGAAGCAAGATGCAAAAAACTAGGACTAGAATCACTCTGGCTGAGACGCCTGAAGCTCAACTTAACACTTCTTTTTCGTCTTTTATTTACAAACCCTAAAACGAAATGTGCTGTCACTTTTAAAACAACACAGGCATATAATCTGCGTAATAGCGAGAACATCATCCCAATAAATAAGTATTTTTTTTTTTTTTTTTTTCGGTTTTTCATAACGCAATACAGTATGCTGTGGAACAAACTTCCCGCTCCTATACGAGCATGCCGTTCGCTCGGCCAGTTTCAACGATTACTTAGTAAATTCCTCCTATCTAACGAATCTCATCAATTCGTTGACGGCCAAACCACAAACGGTAATGCCATGCACTAAGGTACTACTGGTACCTAGACTCAAGGGAGACTAACAGCAATGACATAAGTATACAATGCCGAAAACTAAACGCAATAGTTAAGTTAAAATCTAATTTCTTAGAAAAAAAATGACCAAGAGTGGACAGGAAGCGGAGTGCGACACGATATGCTACAGTGAACTTATTAGATACTCAAATGTAACCTACTTTTCTTCACAACCTAACCGATCTCACGACTTAACACCTATTTCCTAAAAATCGCCCCTTAAAGTAAACTCTCCACTCCGAAAAGATAAAAGAACTGTCTGTCGGTGCATTTTCATAGCATGCAACTCTTTATTATTTGCCCTTACATCTAAGTACTCTGCACCAACATAGTTTCGGTAGACCCGATATGGTAATGCTCAACAGGCAACACCATGATCATCCCCTCGTGACCAGATAAAGGGTGGTGGTCCTAAGAACAAAAAAAAACCACGAATTTCACCTAAATGTTTATAACTTCATCATACGCTTGTACATAGGTATATAACAAGTTAATACCTGGTCAAATATCCTCTAATCTTTCTATTTCGTAGTGATATCTTCAGCTTCAGACTGACTTTCATTACTGTCGTGCGCACCTTCATCTTCTTCCACCTAAGCTTACCTCTAAACAGTTGGTTCTGGACACTTCCTCAAGTAAGTTTAATAGTCAGTACAAACTCACCCAGATGTATCATGGTCGATCTACTCCTGCGTATTTTTGTGCTCCTGTTACAAATTTCGCCTGCTGCTCGCTTTTGTTATTCACTTTTCAGATTTACTTAACCAGTCCTGCATTCAAATGGAATCCTACAAATCGCATTCGTCAGTGGGAAATATTGGCACCGAAACCTGATGACGAACGCGCACACCCCAAGGTCATGAATGTGATGCGGCCTCACCTTCAAGAATATTGGATGATTCAAACGATGACCGGATAATCTTCAAATTCGAACTGAGCCTGCTTCAACATGCCTCCTATATGCCATAAATCACAGCATCTAATGTATAGCATAACATTGTACATAATAGTCATCTCTCATTACCAAAGTGATCAAACCTGTAAACTGGTTTGTATTCATGTAACCTTTGTTGCATGAAATATATTATTATTATTATTATTATTAAGAGCTTCCGTGGTTACAGGACTATCTAGACGGCAGAAAATTCTTCACAAAAGCCAACAGAGCTTGCTGGACTTGGAAGACATCGTCATTTGGTGTATCACAAGGGGCGATTCTGGGTCCACTGCTATTCCTTCTTTTTGTGAACGACCTCCCACTGAATCTCAGCTCCCCAATTCTACTCTACGCTGATGATGTTAAGCTATGGAGAGCTGTGACGTCAAAAGCAGAATCGAGTGCACTGAAAAGTGACCTCAGATTACTTGCAGAGTGGGTGGATATTAATGGACTTGCATTTAACCTAGATAAATGCCGAGCCATGTTTCTCCGCACCCCAGACTCTCAGAAGGTACCCTGCTCTCTCTGTGGAACACAACTCTCCCACACCGCCACAGAGAATGGCCTAGGACTAATACTAACTGACAAACTAGACACTAGCTCCAATTGTCCAGGAAATGCCTCCAGAGCCTATGTAGCACTGCACTTCATGCGCAAACAATTGGGTGCCCTGACCCCGGAACTTTTTTCGAAGCTGCATAAGACCTATATGTGACTCCACCCAGAGGTACACAACATCATTGCACTACCAAATTTGAAAGGAGACGTGAACCTCCTGGAGAAAGTCCAAATGCGAGCTACAAAGGGTGTCCTAGGGATGAGGCGAAAACCATATCAGGACGGGCTGAAAGATCTAGGGCTCTACTCTCTAAGCTACCGTAGATTACGTGGTGACTTGATAACGACTTACAAAATACTCAATAACCCAAGTCATCTGAACATTGGAATCCTACCGAACAGCCACTATGCCGATCCTCGTGGTAACCCAGGGAGAATCGCCCACCGAAGGGTGAAAACCCGTGTTCGACCACACTTCTTCTCCCTGCTAATTTGCGGCCACTGGAACGCACTGCCTGCTGAGATTGCTACTTCTCCGTCTGTTGACAGCTTCAAGAAGAGGTTGGACAATTACTCAGTGACGCACGGTTTGCCCGCCTCCAACTGGGATGAGGACTAGGCTGACACGACTTACCAACTCGGTACGACCAACCGTTACTGAACACTTTGTAAAACCACTATCACTGAGAACTTGGCTCAACCTTATATCTTTCTGTAGACGTCCCCTCCAGTTACCGTCCCCTACTAAAAGAATTATTATATTCCCATTCGTCATATCACGGTATTTACTATTCTTCCTTCTGGCTTTACTCTCTCAAACTTTAACAAAAGCTCTCCCTATCACCTATTCCCCATGAACCTACCAATGTTTTTTCTTCCGTGCTGTTTCCTCATTCCTAATCTTTTTTATCATTTTCCTTCCTTTTTTCCTTTCCTTCTTCGATTTTCTCTCTCTCTGCACTTTCTCTCCCTTTATTTCTCTGCACATATCTTCCCTCCCCTGTTTACAACCAGTCCGACCAATTGTCTGCTGGCATGACATTTGAGCAACCCACCTGCACCACAGTCCTCGGAAGAAAAAGCAAACAAACAACACTCCCTACAAATCTAACCAACACCCAACCACCCGTCGGGCTAGCCAGAGCTGCAGCAGCCGAGTGGGTAGACCTACTGCATTCCAATATCCAATATTGATGGTGTGAGCGTAGAAAACTGGTAGTTTTTGATCTCTCGCGTCTAGTTCCTAGGAATCCACCAAAGACCTGAAACCGCTCCGCATGACCTAGAAGCGAGCGCGAAGTAATCAACTGGTCTACACCAGCTCGTTAAAAGATATTGGATACTGGATTCAAGACTCCAACGTCAAGGAGCATTTGGAGATTCTGTAAACGAAACTGTAACACAAATTCAATTGCAATTCAAGAGCTGACGAACAGGTAATATCTATCAAGCTCTCTTGACGACGTGCCTGACTCCAACAGTGTCCGTAGACCAAAACAAATCTTCACTTAATCTTAGCGCCCTCAAAGTTTCTGGTTCACCGGTGCCAAGCACCGTCAAGACGAAAGTTGTAGGTGACGATAATTGAAAATATTCACAAATTATTTCTGCTTAAGATTGGGGAAGAGTCAGGTGTAGTTCAAACGCTGCATTAAAGGTTAAGGGTAGATTTTTATCATTTCCGTGAAGTAAGAAAATTAAAATTGCGTTAGATATTAAAATACAGAACAATTTAAGTCCCTTGAACGTGTTGGTGGTTAGCGGGTCCATCTTCGCGTGATGGAAGGGCTGTTATGGTCGGGAGTTATCGTGAACCACGAAACTAAAATAGTGTTCTTTCCGTGTGTGGTTTGTCAATGTAGGTGATGCTGCTCAATCTGCCGGCGAAGAATGCCGATTCAAGATGGTCTGTGAAGTGTCGGAAGTTTTCAGATTTCTAATATTTGTCATGTTCTGCGCCCACTTTATCCCATCACAAGGACTACTTTCAGAGATACCGAATTGAAACAAAGATGGCATTGAAATGTTTACAGAACCTTCGGAGGAACCAAAAGTCAGGTAGTAAAACTTTTAGAGTGCTCGAAATTTCATATTAAGCTTTTTTCCCACTAAAAAGATAGATTTAGAGTGTGAATGCTTTATTCTTTCATTCTTCGTGGACACTGAAAGAATTGAGATATCTTACTTGGTCATTCAGACGAATCATGTTCCCGATCTCTGTAGAGTGTTATGAATGGCAGCAAGAGCGGTGGGAGGCGTCCGGCTGAGTCACGACTGAATGTATGCAAAACTAGCTGTACTAATGTAGTAGTATTGCCGCAAAAAGGAAGGTTATATGCTGTTTTGGCCGCAAGGGAAAGGTTGTTTGTAGATGGAGAACCAGTCAGTGGAGGTGACTTGTCTCGCTTTGGTTGTGGAGTGGTAAGTATAAAGTAGCAAGACTCTTGGCATCATGTTTCATAAAACATATAGGAGGACAGGTGGATAGAGTTCATATGTTAAAAAGCATCATGGCGTATCTTAGAAGGTGATTCAGTGGCAGTGGTCGACAAGTTATCTGACGCAGGTACCATTCCAATTTTCAGATCACCCTTGTTAGACCTAACAAGAAGATGCCAAAAACGATCACGTACAGAAAGGTATTATGGGGTGTGTACCGATGGATCGAAGTGAATGAATTGTCTTCTTATCAATCCATTAGGTTGGTATTCAGTTACCACTAGATCACATTTACTTTCATACACGAAGATGAAGGTGAGTAAATGATCGTTGTCTCACTATTCTGAGATATTTGTTTCACTCAAAAGTAGTTTCTCTATGCACCTTCACAATGATCCATCTTCACTTCTGCAATAACGTCCGACGTCGAAAGTGGTAGCAAAGAAAACTTGTAGTTTCTGAAACCCCGAGCCTATTTTTGAGGTTCCGTTCTTATTGTCCAGTCATACTAGTTTGGTGGTCCTTTCAGCCAACGTCGGGGACAGTGATAGTCTGTTTGGAGGTTTTCATTTGAAAAATATAAGCTGATCTGCTTGGTGGAGCGACGGAACCACTGATAACATGAATAACCGTTTTGCGATTCCTGTTTATGTAGTTACTTTTAAGGAAGTATTAGGAGTTATCTAAAAAGTAGTGCCAGAAATAGAGGCAGTAGAAAAGGAGAAGAGAGGATTGGGAAGTACTTACGGAAAATAAGTGCTACTAGTACTATTACAGGGAGGGGTTGGATCGTATTATAGATACCTGGGTTGGGTAGTACAAGGATCGATGAGTATACCTTGAATTGCCATCTCTAAATGTTGATGGTAAGCCGTTTGCGCTCATGCACTTATCCAGTATCCGGTTGAAGGGGTCAGCTGAAGTGGCTGTGGTTACTTCTTTCCGAAGACTGTTCCGCAAGGCACACACTCTGCGAGAGAAGTTAGCTCTTACTCTTGTCTTTCTTTGCCTCTGGTGGAGTACATGACGGAGGTTACAATGAGACTTGGTTTTGGACAGATAACGTTGTCCTGTCGGGATGGCTTACTTGATGGATAATATTGTGGGCTGTTATTGGGTCCCCTCTTTTCCTTTAACTGCCTTGAGCTAAAAGGTGATTTTTCCAAGGCGTTGCACAAACGTTTTACCGGTTAGTCCAACGACTGACCTTGTCGGCCTCTTCTGCTCCCTCTCGAGTTTTCGCATCTCTCTGGCAGAGGAAGGACTGTTGTATTGAACGCTTCCAAGTGTGGTCAAACACAAGTTTAAGATGCTATAAGCTGCCGTCCTCGGAAGCGCATCCTGGTGTTCGGCTTCGCCACCATCCCCTCATTGTTGTCAGAGAAGTTTGGTCCTAGACACTTCTCTGCGGTCATCCTGGTGATCGAACCAGTGCTGAGGATTTTATCGCTTCCAGCCTGCAAGCACAGCAACGCCTGCAGCCTTCCGGGGCACTCATATCAATATCACGTCAGGACGTTTGCGGAAACCTATTACCTCGTATAGTCAGGGTGATGGCGATGCGCCTCTAGCCATCATGTTGATAAAGAGCAAGAGGCGGGGCAAGTGCGTATGTACATGATCCAGCATACTGACACTCAATAGCCGACCCCAGCTCATGTTAGCAGACAGTGTAGCCATGAGTATACGGCCAATTTATGACGGCTGTGATGTTTGAAACCAATCAGCGTCGGTGACTC